TTCTATTCATAAACAAAAGGAAATGATTATTTAAAGGTGAACAGCATCTACTTACTTTAGATGTGGATTTCCAAGTTATCTTCAATCCCCACCACTCCCTAATGCTTTTCCAATAGTGAGGCCAGATATTATCTTTATCCTGGCCCATTTTTCTCATACTTGGTCTCTGGAGGCATTTGAGTTTATAATTCTGTTCTTTTTCTTTCCCAGCTAACTAGACATTTTTTTCTGATAGGATTGCCATTAAAATCAGCCCCTTACACTTGAGCAGAGTTTTACAATGTATTTTATTTGATTCATATCAGGTACTTATTAGTGAGTTCTGGTGGCTTAGTGGTAAGAAGCTGTGCAGCAGTTTTCAAGGTCTCCTCCATGACAGATTGATGTGGTGGCAATCTGCTCCTGTGTGATTAACTCTGAAAACCAGCTTAAGGCAAACTATGGGATGGTTCTAACTTGATGTCACACAACAACAATAAGAGTTTATGAGATGGGCAGAGTTACTTCTGTTTTACAAATTACATCTTTGAGATTCCAAGAAATTAAGTGACTTACTTCAGATTTTATAGGTTTTAAGGTTTAAACCTGATCTTGGGCTTTTAGATTCTATTTCTACTCTGTGAAATGTTATTTATTAACAAATTGTAATATGCTTTCAAAAAACCCTAATAATAAGGACAAGTACTGTGTAAGACCATTATTGTAAAAATTGAAGGATAACAAGTCAAACGGTTATTGGGACCCAAGAGGGTAAGGAGTGAGAGCAGAGGAGCGAGGATGGGTAGGGGGGAAATCACAGGGTTGCACAATTTGGTTGACGGAGGGAGGGGTAAAGGAAATGGGAAAGAGCCAGCGGGTCTTTGAAAAGACCTAGGTCACCATTAGCTGCCAAAAGCAACTGATCTTTCTGTGGCTAAGGGGCTGATATGAAAGAAATTTACCCAGTGATGGACTGGTTTACAGAAGTATAAGGATAATGTGTGTTTTAGTTGGCCCTATAGAAAGTGGGTGAAAAACAGTAATAGGTTAAATACTTCTCAAATTTAAGACACCACCAACTTTCATTTCATCAGAGTATTAATTTCACCAGCTAATTGCCTTCTAAAATAACTTTATCACAAATCTTGATCATATTTCTTCATACTCTGAAATAATCTTGTGTGTTTATTTTGTTTACTAAGAGAACACAATAGAATGCTCTTGTGTTTTGAAGTGCCTAGCACATATTTATGAAATAATACATTTCTTTGAACATTTCACAGAACTTAGTTTTATACCTTAGATAGTGCTGCTATTAAGTCATATTTAATGAAATTTCATTTTATAAAGGAAAAAACCCAGAACCCTTAGCCTATTATTTTTCTTGACTTGGCTATCTCTTGCATGTAGTAAATTTGATAAAAAGAGTCCTGGAGATGTAGTGCTACTAACCCTGAGGCTGGCAGTCTGAGTTCACTGGGAGTCCATGAAAGAAAGTTGGGCAGTTTCCTTCTGTAAAGATTTTTAGCTTTGGAAACCTCAAGGAGGCTTGCTATGAGTTGGATTCCACTCAAGATGGTGGATTTGGGCTTTTAAAATATATTGGATGAGCTTGACAAAAAAAGTAGGTACAGTTGCATTCTTTGATTCAAACTCAATGTAGAAGAGATGGATCTTACCTAATTTCATAATTATTAAGTTGCTTTATTGCATTCTTGGCTTCCTGTTTATTTGAGAATGTTACAAAAGCATATCCTCTATTGTTGCCATTAAAATCCATCATCATTCGCATTTCATAAATTTTACCAATCTGTAAGTAACAGAAAAGAGGAAAATCCATATTCATACACTTTTAACTTCCAAACAAACATCTGTGTGCAAGTACACACACACATGCACACACACAAGATTTTCTAAAGTCAGTCTTTTAACAGTATTTGGTGTTTACAACTCACGTGATGGAGTGGTTTGCATATTTTCATGTTGGCCCAGACCAGTATCTGACTCCTGGTCTAAGTCAAGTTTGGCAAAGAAAAAACTGCATGCAAGTGGCATTTCAATCCAAATTAACTGAGTAACTTTTTATTGTACAATTACCTGGGTATTCATTCATACAATGATTATAGGTCCCGAAATGCATATTTACCATCAGAAGTTTAATTTCTCTATAGAATATATATATATATTCCTATAAACTTGGACTAATAGACTCTTCACATTTTTATTCTTCTCCAGTGATATTTAAAACAAAAGCAATGAAGCCCTTTGGAACCTAACTAAGTAAACTTTGTAGCTGCGGTTTAGTCCTTACTATAACACTGACATTAGAATAGCAATTGTGCCACAGGAAACAGCTGGGGAGCCTTGCTATCTCCTGAAGGTGTTATTAGTTTCCACACAACCAACACCAGGCCAGACCCTTCATGGTAGGAAGTCGCTTACTCTTTTCTCCTGTCTACAGTTGCACAGCTGGTCCGTCCACCACTCCCTCCTCCCACCTAAATTCCTCTTTAGCTATTTATTCAGATTGAGCAATTTGTAATAGCTGGCTGGTACAAGAAAAGGGATCCAAAGAGGTGTTAAAGACATGTATATGAAGGAAGAAATGCCATTAAGCATATGCAATAACCATTAATAGCTGATTACTCCTTGTTTCAGCCTCACCACACCTTACCCCAAGGTATTCAGTGATGTATTTGTCCTAGGTTTATTGGGCAAGAGCTTGAACATGTCTCATTTATTGGGCAAAAGTTTAATCATGTTTCATCTCTGTCTTCAGGTTCAGGACAAAAGATTCTTAGAGGATTAGATGTTTGTAATTTGTCCAGTTACCAAGTGTGATGGTAGCAAAATTGGGAGTATATCTGAATCTGAGACTGATACACATACTCACACATGCACAGGGATATATTTAACTTGGAATTTTGGGGGGAAACAGCCAATCTCTCATTTATACTAAATATTCTAGCATATAGTTATTTATAAGAATTACTTGGTACATTATTGAGAATATATTCTAATGTATCCTTCATTTAATTTTAGCTTTACTAATCAGTTGGAATGGAACCTGAGGGAATTAATTTTGTTGTAAGTGTGGAAAGATTTTAAGAAACTACCAAATTCTCAATCTTGTTGATACATTAATGCAGAAAAGAAATTCAGACTTGTAGGCGAAAAGTTCATTCTGGATCAATATGTATGTATGTAGGTAAATATTTGCGCCATGGTGAACATACACATTCTTTTTATGTTAAAGTGTTAAGTATTATAAAATAATGTTAAAAAGTTAAGTAGGTAATTTATTATATTTTAGGTGGTTTATGGTGATAGTCTATATTGGTATGTATGTTGAATTTGCAGCATAATGGTTATACTAGTAATAAGATGCAATGAGATACGGGTTTAGACATCGTTAATATTGGTCTTTAAAGCTATCATTAATAGGACAGAAAGTTGAGTAAAGTGAACAATAGCAAGGGAGTAATTACTAATGCCAAGAAATGTTGTAACTTTGTCCATGACTAAAGAAAGAAAATTGGAAAGAACCTCCTCATGACTGAAGAAAAAGATGAAAACAAAGTGGTGTAGTAATTTTCCCTTGAAAGATAAGAAAAAGCATATTAAACGCTGGACTTACCTTTTCACATAATGGTATAAGTTCATCCTCAAAAAGATCTCGGGGAAGTTTTCCAATAAAAATTTCACAGCCCCTTTCCGGAGGTGCAGCATCCCATCCAGGAGGAGGGCCCCCATATTTTCTTTGTCCATTTTCCTGGAAATCCAGGTGAGGTTATGGATCCAGGTGTAAAGAAAAAAGAAAATTATGGAATCATTAATTGGTTTTCTGACATTAATTTTCAAAATCTCTTCATAATAAGGAACATATCATTAACAGATATTAGCAGTTTGATGCTCCATTCTGTTCTTTGTGCTTCAGAGACTTACTTGAGATGAGCGTTGTCAAAGCTTAGACATGACAGATGTAAAGGATTCTTAATCTTTCCTGTTGTCCTTCAAATCTGATCATTGAAAGATCTGACTATGATTGAGGTTGGGGGCTCTTGAGTTAAAAGTCAGGGCTACATGGTGTAGGAATAATGAAGCTGGGCTGCTTGGCTTCAGCATTCACTAACTATAGGGCTTGAGATGTTGTAGCTACTCCAAACCTTGATTTCCTCATATATAAAATGAGGATAATGCTAGCTTTTTAAGAAAGGATATATTGCATAAAACATTCCTAACACAGCCCTTAAACATGATATAAATTTAGTATTTATGCATTCCCTTGCTGCTTTCCTGTATTTGTGTTTTTCCATATGCCAGTGAAGACAATGTCGTCCCCTAAATAGAAATGTTACAAGGATTGGCACTGAAAGCAGTGGACAGGCTAATTATGGGTGTAGCTACTCAAGGCTTTAAATCTGTTTCCAAAGCTAAATAAAGAGTGAGTGATATTTATTAATGAACGTCTGTGTGGGAACAATGCTATTCTCAGTCTAAATGGAATGGACTCCCTCCCCCATTTTGTCTTAACAAACCTTGGGTAAATTTAAGGGACTTTTTCAGTGGGAGAATAGCATTAATGCTTCTTTGCAGGGCTTTCTTTATTCTACAGATTAAAGAATTACAAGTAGCCTCAGGAGTCCCAATATGAAGTCTATGATTTTTAATGTGGCGGTCACTATACATCATAGGCGACTCAACAGCACACAACAACAATAACATACTATGACAGGTTTGGAAACAGGAATGGCATCCACCTCCTAAACAACATGCCGCCAGAAACTCTATGAACCTTGATAAATGTCGATAGACATAGAAAGGCTTCAGGCCTTTTGTTCATAGGGCCACTATGAATCTTGCTCCACTTGAAGGCAATCAACAACAACAAAAACAGCAACAACAAGATAGTTCCTAATCCACTAAAAAGAATCTGAAATAGTCAATCACTCTCCATTTAAACATAGCCAGAACTCTTTTGTCATTATATTTTGTTCGGAATTCTTATGATAGGAGAGTATAAGGGGATTAGAGGTCATTACTAAGAAGCTCTCTGGTGGCCTAGGGGTAAGGAATTGTACAAAGGCACCCAGTTCGAATCCAAAAGTTGCCCCAGGGAAGAAAGATGGGCATTTTTTCCCCCATTGTGATTTACTGTCTCTGAAATCTCACTGGTGGGCCAGCTAGGAGGCGGTTCTGACTCCGCAGTGCATAACAACAAAACCAAACAAAACAAGAGGCTGTTAGTAATTTCTATAACTACAGCTTCAAAAGCTTTTATACTGTAAAATAACAGATTGCTAGACAAAAACACAAAAGTAAAAGGTAAAAGGACAGTTCTCCAGTGCATCACTCTATGCGTCCTTAGGAGTTGTTGTTGCAGTTGTTATGTGCCGTCAGATCCCTTGTAGATTCATAGTGAGCCTATGCACAATAGCTCAGAATCCTGCACTATCCTGAGCCAATCTCACTGTCTAGGATGTACCTGCTCCCATTACCCAGTCACTGTGTCAATCCATCTCATCCAGACTCTTCCTGTTCTGCATTATCCCTCCACCCTTCCAAGCATGATGTCCTTCTCCAAGGACTGGTCTCTCCTGGCAACATGGCCAGATGTCAGATGGAATATGTCAGATGTATATGAGACGGAGCTTCAAAATCCTTGCCTCCAACAAGAAATGTTGTTTCACCCTCTCCAAGGCAGATCTGTTTGTTCTCTTGACAGTCCATGGTAGTCCACTCTTCACCAGCACCACAGCTCAAAGATGTCTATTCTTCTTCTGTAACCCTTTTTCATTGTTAAGCTTTCTGATGCATAGCAAGTAATTGTGAAGACCATAGCCTGGATCAGGGGCACCTTCGTCTCCAGACTGACATCCTTGCTCTTCAGCACTATGGAGAGGTCCCTGACAGCAGATTTTCCCAGTGCAATTTGTCTTTTGATTTCCTGAGTGCTAGTGCCAAATGCGTTGATTGTGGAACCAAGCAAGCAGAAATTGTTAAGAATCTCAATTTCTTCTTCATATATCATGCTGCCAATCAGCACAGGGGTGAAAATCTTTATTTTCATGATGTTGAGCTTCAATCCATATTGGAGACTGCAGTTCATGACCTTCTGCAACAAATGCATCCAGTCCTTCTCAGTCTTGGCAAGCAAGTTTGTGTCCTCTGCATAACGCAGGTTGTTGATGATGAGCCTGCCTCCAATTCTGATGTGACAGTCTTCCTCATAAAGTCCAGCCTATTGAATCATCTGCTCCACATACTGATTGAAAAGGTATGGACACAGGATGCATCCCTGATGTTCTCCTTTCATGATTTTGAACCATGCAATGATCCTTAGGAGAAGACATTGTTAAATATTTTGGTTTGTTTTTTCCAAATATTTTTTATCAGTATTTTTACATTGCTTGTTTAATAACAACAATATTTTGAAAATTAGCTGTTTAAAATCCAAGTGGGTCAATATAGTTTCACTGTTAAATCTTCACTGAAAGAATGCCTACTTAGGTTGCAAGTATGTCATCTGTGATGATGACACAAAAATTCTGGGGTCACAGTATATAAAGATGTCTGCCACAACTCACATTTTACCTCTAATGATTTATGCTAAATAGCTTTTTTTTTAGAAAAAGATGTCATGTAGCTATCCTACCTTATCTTGAACTTTTTGATTCAGAAGACTGTTTATAATTTTATATTAAATATTTACATTTTTGCTTTAAGAGTTTTCATATTTTTTTTTTTTACTCTTTTGTTACTCTTGCAGGATTACCCAGTAATAAAATGTTTGGTGTCACTGAGATCTATAACAAATGGTGTGAGTTACTCAGTCCTATATTCCTTCTTCTTCTATCCCCCTTTCTTTCTCTTTTTTTTTTCTTAACAAATACCTGAATGACAGTGGTCATTGGTTCAGTGGTTAAGTGCTCAGCTTTTAACCAAAAGAATGCAGTTTGAACTCACCCATCTGCTCCACAGTAATATTACCTGATGATCTATTCTCATATAGATCCCCAAAACCCAAGCCCACTACCATTGAGTTTATGTAGACTCACACGGATCCTATAGGACATAATAAAACTGCTCAGTGTATTTCTAAAACTTTAATGTCTATAGAAAGGAGTCCTGGTGGCCTAGTGGTAAGAAGCTGCACTGCAATCCTGAAGGCACACAGTTTGAGGCCACCAACTGTAACATGGGAGAAGGATGGGCAGTCTCTTTTTGTTTGATTTACTGCCTCTGAAAAACCACTGGGGAGTCAGCTATGAGTTGTTCCGATTTGATGATACACAGAAGGAGCAGCAACAAGAACAACAATGACTCTGGAAGCAGATTGCCACATCTTTCTCCCATAGAGCAGCTCACAGAATCAGACTACTAATCTTCTGCCTATAAAGTTTAACCAGTAAACACAACCAAGGCCCAAATCCATTGATCTCAACTCAAAGCCACCCTATTTGGATAGAGTAGAACTTTCCCTATTGGAGCTCCAAGACTAAGCTTTACAAGAGCAGATTGCTTCATCTTTGTCCTGTGGAATGGCTGGGGAGTTGGGACCACTGACGTTTCAGTTAGAAACTCTTAACCACTGTACTAGGACTCTTTCTATAAAGATTATAACCTAGAAAATCCTAGGGGACAGCTCTACTCTGTCATACAGGGCACTATGACTCAGAAATCAACTATATGGTACCTAACAAGGTCTCAGACATTTTTCTAATCTGAACAACAGAACAGTCAGAAGGTAATGACTTATTATCCCCATTTCCCCAAAAGAAGACATCAAAGCCTAGAGAAGTAACTTGCCCAAAAGATGTGCTTGGGAAATGGAGAATTTTGACATTGAACCCAAGATTTGAAGGTTAAGAGTCCAGCTGCATAATTTGTATTTAGGGGGTGGCCCATGTACTTTATACATGTATTGCTGCTTTACTGTATGGAAGCCTAGCCATTTATATATCTCTATCTATCTATCTCTATCTCTATCTCTATCTATCTCTATCTCTATCTCTATCTCTATCTCTAGCTCTATCTCTATCTCTATCTCTATCTCTATCTCTATCTCTATCTCTATCTCTATCTCTATCTCTATCTCTATCTCTATCTATCTCTATCTCTATCTATACCAAAAAATAAATATATACTTTGTGAAAATATCTATCATGCCATTAAACTACAAACTCTGTTGAAGATTTTTTAGAAGTGGGGTGGTTTTTTTTCCAATTTTTAATATTTGCATTATATAACCCCTTTAGGAGAACATCTCCTTGCTTACAGAAATAAATGTTTTATTGCCAACCACTGTCCACCTCTGTAGGCCCACTCTCTCCAGTTTGGTGATGTGTCCTTTATATCTTAAGTGTCCAGAAATACAATATCCAACAGGTAACTAAAATAAATCTAGTATGAATTTGGCAGGATTCTTATCCTTCAGTTTGAGGCAACCAAACTCCTATCCTATAATAAATAACGTGGTTGTTCTAGAAGTGTTGATTTGATGAACTGTGTCTGATGGTTCAAAAATAAACAGGCAACCAGCAGATTGACCTTGTAAGAAATGTTTTCCTTTAAACTTTCTTTCTTGCTATAATTGCTTAAATATGTGATCAACCAAACTATTTTGTGATATGTATAGGAGACAAAATAATGGGAGAGAAAGTTGATGAATGGTCTTGCAGGGTTTCTATAGACACTTAAAAAAGTTCTGCCCCCTTCTCCAGAGTCTAATGCCTTTTCTGAAGTCTGATGGTTCAGAGATGCCTCATTGTG